GAATTCAACTCTACTGTTTTTTATCAGAAAAGGGATCATAGTTTCAAGCAAAACCAATTTAAACAATTTCTCCTTAAACTACTTATCATTAACTATCAAAAATAAAATTCAAAAACAGAAAACAGCTTACCGTTTTAACAGATAAAAGGGCATCTCTAACATGATAAACTAAATCCCAATCAGTAATACTAACACCTTCCTCCACCTCCTCTTGATCCTCCATTGCTATATATTCTGTATATTGATGGGTTAACTCAACACCCATCTGTTATATCCCCACTTACACTGAAAAAACAATACCCATCAATAAAAACAAAAAAAGGCATCATATTTCGAAACCAAGAAGCACAAGCAAAAAACCATCTATAAAAAAGCACCAAAAAAAAGAACTTACAGAAGGCGGCTTTTTTTAGCTTGGTGTATGGCTTTCTCTTCTCTTTGTGTATGGATTAGTAGTGTGGAGCAGTGACAAGCCGACGGAGAAGCTGTGGTGGTGAATTTATGAAGGTTGCGGCTGGCTCTTCTTTGTATATGAGTTTGTGTTTTGCGTTTCGGCTGCCAAGAAAAGAAGAGTAGCAAAATTCAGGGTTTTGCTACTCCAAGGGATTTTAAGTGGTGTGAGTCGACCTTATTTCTTTTATTTTTATATTGACCTCCAAAACTCTTTGTTTTTTTAATTTAGTAACATGTTTTCGGTTATTTACAAATTCACACCATGTCTGTAAATAAGGTCACAGTGCATGTAACTTTACAAGGGAGGACTTTAACACTTCAGCAATTAGCACCGACTAGTACACATTCAGCTGCGCTTTGTTGTGAGTTGGATTAGTTTTTAAAAAAATTAAGTATAAAGATTTTTTTACATAGTATTGTTAAATTTAAGTAGTTTGATCTTAAAATCTATTATTTCAACTTTTTTTTAATTTAAATTTCAAATTAAATTAATGAAACTAATCCAAAATAAATTATTTAATTTAATAGGTTAAAATATAACTTGAATAATTAGTAAAAACATGGGTTAACTTAAAAAAAATTTTAAGATGTTATTTTTTTAAATTAAAATAATGCAAGATTGGATCGATCTTGGTCATCTTGCAACTTAGATCATGGATTTTAATAGTTTTAATAACTTTGTTATTTTTATAAATTATTTTTATTTAATTTTATGATAATGTTAGATGCTTTTAAAAATCAAGCATCAACTTTAAAAAATATTTATTTAAAATCATGATTACCCTATATAAAATAGAAAAAATAAACCATGAATTTCATTTATCAACCAATCTAATATTAAATAAGAATGAAATAAAAATAAACAATTAAAAAAATTAATGGACAAAAAACTAAGAAAAATATATTAGGTTTGACGAGTAAATTCACTAAACTTGTGAATTAAGTAACCCGAGTCAACATGTTAAACCCTCAAACCGAATAATAAATTATAATAGGATTAATAACTTGTTTATTTTTCTAAATTATTGTTTATTTAAACATAACAAAAATAAACGATTATAAAATCAAGTGTGAAACCAATATTGAGACTATGATAACCTCAAGAAAAATAAAATAAAATAAATTATAAAATTCAATTCTCAACTAGCATACACGACAACAAGCCCATGGACTTTCTAAAGTTTAATAACATTTAATGGCAACAGGTCCATGAACTTTCTAAAGTTTAATAACATTTATAGACAATTATATAATCGAGTTCAATTATAAAAAAATACCTCGCTAAACTTACAGATATAGGCAACCAGAGTTATTTCACCAAACTTGTAAATCAGGTTATAGAATCCACACTTTGATAACTTAGTTTTTTTAAAAATTATTTGTTATTTAACTAAAGTTTTTTAAAAACAGACCATAACACAATGCTGAGATTTTTTATGATATCAACTTGATATTGAAATTTTTTTTATATTGCAATAATCATATAAAAATAAATTATTTATTCTAAATTTTCATAAACACATTATATAAGAATTAAATAAAAAAATTAATAACCAAATAAAAAAAAGTAAAAATGCATAAAAAAATCATTACTATGGATTATTATTATAATTTATAGTGCTAATAGATGTTGAGAAACAATGTTATTCCTATACTTTTTTTCTTTTCAAAAACCAACATTGTTAATTATTATTGTAATTCACCGTATTAATAAATGTGAAAAATAGTATTAATTTTCCCATGCACCTTTTAACTTTATTTATAATTATAATAATAACTAATACAATTGTCTACTTTTTTGTGGCAAGCACTATTCAAGTGTGTTTTTCTGTTTTATTTGCAATTTTATCATTGCAAGGTATATTGATATCGTTTCATGTGTTGAAATTTGGTTCTTTATGCATTCGCTTTTGTATGTGAAGTGCTTGAGAAAACTTTGATATTAAATTAAATATCAATATTACGTACAAAATAGAATTTACAATGTAGTTAAAAATAAAATTGAAAGAAAAATGATTAAAATTAATAAAATAGATCATTTTTCATGTTTACTATTAGGCACAAAAAACTTTAGCTTGATCTCCTAGTTTCAATATATAAAATTATTGAGTTTTGTATTTTTTGGATTTTATATTTTAACCTTAAATTAACTTTGTTATAATCCAATTTAACCTATTTGTGTTTTGTTTAATTTTTTTGAAGGGATTAAAATTTAGAATTAAAAGACTAGGGATGGATTTTTTTATTCAGAGTACAATTTGATAATGTATATAAGAATTATGGAATATAGTGAGTTTTATGTTTAAACTACATAAATGTATTTTTAAATTTAATTTTTTAAATTTGAATTTAATAAAAAGGTAGAGTTTGTGTTCGTTTGGACTTTGAAACTCCATATTATACACACATTCCAGGAGAAACAAAAAGAGAAGGGAAGATATATGAATTAAAGAGCAGAAGCAGCTTTTGCCAAGGCATCTGCAGACAAAAATTGAGCTAGCCATTGGCTGTGGATGGGCAGCAAGAAAACCCTAGAAGTTAGGGTATGCCATACCTTATCAGGCCCCAACTCAACCAATTATCCCGATATGCATGAAACAGGCTGTTTCAAGTTGAGATGCGCAGATTGCAGAACCAGTTACGCGCGCTGGATAATACTGAATCATGCTGTGAATTGTGATCACTGAGATATATGAGCACAAGAACGGTTTTTATGTAGCTATACCACTCGTTTTTGTTGACAACAGTTAAGTTTTTATGCATCCAAATCTCTTGTTGCATTCATTGTCAATTTGTCTTGGAAAAGAAATAAAGAAGGAAAAAGATCTCGCGGTATGCAATTGAGTTATATTCGATTGTTTCCTTTTTGGCGGGCCATAGGTAAATTTTAGGTTACAAACAACAACGTTTCTTTTTCTACCAAGAAAGTGGATTAAGAAACAAAACAAGAATTTGATAAGATCTGTAATTGATACTGCCCAGACTAGTGCTCTTTAATTAGATTTGTTTGCTGATTGCATAATTTGGGAGGAAATTGCGATATTAAGATATCACTGATAAATTCCTATATTGTAGATTAATAAAGTGATATTTTGGAAACAATTTTCACACACAACAAACATAGTAAGTTATTAGATTAGTGGCTCCTCGCTGTCTTGTGGGTAAAAATACTTTCTTTATCGGAAAAAAAAAATATGTTTAGATGATGCAAAAGTGATTTAAAAAAGTTTTTTTAAAAATAAGACTTGGGGTATAAATTTGATTGGGAAAAAAAAAATGAGAAACCTGCAAAAAAAACATCAAATTAAAAAATCTAAGATAACCCGAGTTGCATAAAAATTCACAAAAAAATAGTATAGAAGGAACAAAGCCTAATTGTTAATAATATAAATTTTAATGATGAAACTAAAAAAAAACTTAAAGTAAAAAAATAGACCAAGTAAACATAGGCAAACCTTTTACACCCGAGCTAAGGTCCCGAATTGATAATCAAAAAAATAAAAGCTAAATTTGAAAGATTAAAAAAAATTAAAGGGGAATGAAATTGAAAACGAATTTTAATTTTATAAATTATTTTAAAAAATTATTCCAAATACCGAATAATGGAATCATAAAAAATATCAATTTAAGAAATTAGCCAAAAAAACCAAGGTTATTTTCAAGACCAACAAGAAATTATACATAAAGCAAATAAATAAAAAGAACAGAACTTAGTTTCCAATTGAATAAATACTAAATGATGAAAAAAATATAGCTTAAATAAAGAGAAATAAAAACCAAGAAAAACTGGTGAGAACATCCTAAATTTGGTTTAATTTCTAAAACTTGCAACTTGTGAAATTCTAAAACTAGAATCAATTAAGAATTTGAAAAAAAAAAACCGAGGAGGATGAAACTGTAATAAAAAAATTAAAAATGATCCCAACAAAAACAATAGCAATCAAAAGAATGGGTAGCAAATTTGAAAAATAAAAAATGGAAGAGGGTGAAATTAAAAAAGAATCTTAATTTTATAGATTATTCAAATAAAAAAAATAGTAATAAAAAGAACAATGACAAATGTTAAGGGAGGAAATTAAAGAGGTTGACGGGGAATTCACGATGGATAAAGAGAAGAAAAGAAAAGAAAATGAAATTGTTGTTAGTACCAAATATAAGGTAAGTTTGACACACATATTGACCCATTATAGAGAGGGCGCTGAAAGCTTTTCAAATACTGCTGGAAAATGGCATAAACACTCCTAGAGAATAATTTTGTTAATTTTAAACCTAGGAGTAATTAAGTAATTTAACTTTAATTAAAAAAATAAAAATAAAAATAAAAGCCTTAGGCTTAAGCTATCTTCTTTTTTTCTTCTTGTTCTCATGGTATTTGAATAATTTAATTGCTCTAATATATAAACCTTCTAGATAGTTTTGTTAATTTTGAACACGGGGTAATTAAGTAATTTAATTTAAAAAAAAAACATAAAAGCCCCTGGCTTTAAGCCATAATTTTTTTGTTTTTATAATATTTAAATAATTTAATTGTTATAAAAATTTAAAAAACTAATCTACCACTCAAACAATTTGAAAATGAAATTGAATCATGATAAAAAAAAAACCATCTTGCTTCCAAATCCTAGTGTGGTGGTTCTTTTAGCTAGGGAAAAATTTGTTAAAACATTATTTTATTGAATAGCATTCATTGCCAACACTATATTGTGGATCAAATCAAAATATTTTTATCATAAAAAAAATCTTGATGTAACTAATATTTTTTTAATAGAAAATTTTTTAAACTGTGTAGAATTGATTCAATGTAAGCTAGTCAACTTAGAGGGTTTAAAGTCAACCTAGATGATCCCTAAAAATATGGTTTAACTCAAAATCAATATTCAAGATTATTTTTATAATAAATATTGAGACAACAATATATAGAATCAATTTATGTTAATCCAAATTAACATGTCAATCTACTATGATAACCTTATAGAAAATAAATCAAAAAGAGTTATGAAGCTTAATTTTTAATAAAATTAATATTAAATAATGAAATTAAAAAAAAAATGGTCTGAGTTAACTTATCAAATCTGCATCCTGGATTATAAAATCAGAATAACCCAAATGAAAAAAATTAAAACAAATTAAGAAGCTTAATTTTCTATTAATCATTTTTGAAACATGATATTGA